AAAGGACCCAGGGCCAGAGCAGGGACAGACCGAGGGTTCAAAATGAATCACGGTGATAACAGAAGAAGCCTGCAGAGTGAACTCAGGACCTGGAGTCCATGTCGTTTCAAACAAAAAATGAGTGTGCAAAGCAGCAGGGGTAGGGGCCGCAGCCTCACAGGGACGAGGCCTGCAGATCACTGGTATCTGGAGTGGGTAAAGCCCACTAAGGAACAGGGGCACACCCAGGCCGGGTGTGCTCCCACAAACACCCCGGCAGAGAAACCCGTGGCCAGGGCAGCCCAGTGGTCAGGCTCACACAGCACCGGGCGAGGTGCCACCACAACTTCCTGCCCACAGATCTGAGTCTTGTCACATGTGAGCCCAGAGACATGGCACAAAGCACCTGCCTCTGCTCTGCAAAGCAGCAGGTCCTGAAAGACAGAGCACAGCTGAGACTGAAGAGGTGGCTGTGACCCCTGAGCCGCGGCAGCCCCCTGATCAGGGCCTCACTCAGTGCCCGGTCCAGGGCACAAGGCCCCAGCCCCTCAAAGACGGCGGTGCACGAGCAGAGAGGGGCTGGGAGAAGCAGTGGGAAGGCTGCACCCAGCCCAGGACGCAGGTGAAGAATCCGGAGCAGGCGTATGCGGCTTCTGCAACTTTCCTGGAAGTGCAAAAAGTCTATCAACACAAAGTTACCCCCAAATAGTTAAATGCTAGAAACTATTAGGACGGGGGCAGACTGACCCCAGGAGCCCAGGACAACTGTCCTCCTTCCACCTCCGGCCCCTGCCCCAGGGCGTCCCTGCCCCTCTTCCAGACACCTCCCCCCTGGCAGCCCCTGCTGCCTGGAAGCCCTCCCTGCGGCTCTGAGGGGTGATCAGCAGCAATGGGCACGGCCCCCACAATGTGCGGACACAGTGGGTGGGAGCAGGCTTCGGTCCCCTCAGACCACAGCCACAGAGCAGGTCTGCCTCGGGAGGGCTGCTGCCCAGCCATGACCACCCGCAGGGGCCCTGGGCAGCTGGGTGTCCCCAGAGTGGGAGCTAGGTCAGGGTTACACATCAGCTGACCGGCACTGCCCAACGTGGGCCGCTCCGCAGGCTCCAGGACCTGGGCAAGCCTCTGCCTCGACCCAGCCTTGCCTGCTGCCCGGGCTTCCGATCTCAGCCTGCACTTCCTCTGCTCGGAGAGCCCCCGCCTGGCGGCTCCCAAGGGCCACTGCAAGACTGCTGGGCCAGGCCACGCAGAGATTCACCCCAAGTTCCTCTGACGCCACAGCCTTCGGGACAGGGAGCAGGCTGCGGGAGCTCCAGCTCCCCTGGCCGGGTCAGGACAGGTCTGGGAACAAGCAGAACACTCCCTGCTATGGACTGATTGGTGTGTCCCCCAAATTCCTGTTTGGATGTGATGATATCTGGACGTGGGGCCTTCGGGAAGTGACTACAGTTAGATGAGGGGGTGAGGGGGGCCCCATGAAGGACTGGGGTCCTAGAGGAAGGGACACAGCTGGAAGGCGGCAGTAGGCAGCGGAAGAGGAACTGACCGAGGGTCCCTGATCCCAGGCTTCCAGCCTCCAGAGCCCTGAGAAACGGACACACTGCTGAAGGCACCAGCCTGCGGTTCGCTCTGGTTTCCGAGCGGCCCCACACTCCTCCAACCAGAGGTGGGCAGGAGGCTGTGCGGACCTGCCTGGGGGCAGGCAGGGAGTGTGGGAACCCTGGCCACCCAGCAGGCCGCTGCCCATCCTCGGGCTGAGTTTGAGTTTCTCTGTAATGAAGCCTCACTTTGGAGAAGCATTTCAGAGCTTCAAACTCACAGCTCAAACCTCACCAAACGGCCCAGAGAGTCTTAAGACGGACTGCACAGACATACAAGTAGAACAGGACACAGTGAGGCAGCCCGGCAGCGGCAGCCCCGACAGCGCCACTCGTAGCCCAAGGAGCAGCCCGAGGCAGCTGCTTCAGCACGGGCTTGCTTATTTCTCACTCTCACGTCAAATGAATTTGGAAAGAAAAAAAAAGCGACAGGCAGTTTAGGGATATAAGTCACACTTCAGCTTCAGTGCAGATTAATGAACTTGTTGGAAACCAGCGAGAACACAGGCAAATCCACAAATCTTACAACAAAAAAATCAAACCCTCGCTCATCATGAGCCTCGGCCCTGGGGGTCCTTCTGTTGCCCCCAGACCCCGTACCTAACAGACCCCTGGTGCAGGCCGGCTCTGGGCAGCAGTGGTCTGGAGCCTCAGTACCCGCCAGGCCTCCCGTGGGACCGTGGTCGGGAGCAGTACGTGGGCTGTCGCATAGCTTCCCACGTGCTGGGCCGAAGCCGACACGGGGCTGAGAGCAGGGTTCTGTCCAACTCAGGGGAGCAAAGCCTCTTCGTGAGGCAGAAACGCACTGGTGCCCTGCACGCCAGGGCCAGGGGAGGACCGCGAGGGAGGGATGAGGCGACAACTCGGAGCACTCAAAGGACCAGGCGTCCCCTGAGAGGGAGGCCGCCAGCTCCCTGGGGGAGGCGAGGGGCCCTGACCCAGGGGAGGCCTCGGGCCAGGAGTGCAGTGGCTCAGTCACCTCCACCGTCTTAAAATGCCGGGCCCCTCGCGGTGCAGGGTCAAGCGTGCTGATGCCCCACACTGTGGGGGTGGGCCATTGCTCAGCAGGTCACCAGCTGCTGGTGCAGGGACGGGCGCTCAGGATGCCTGGCTGCTCCCAGCTGTTCTCCAGTCGGCAGCCGGAGGCTCCACCCCAGCCCCGGTGGCCACCCCACCTGCCCAGGGCCACACAGTGTGCACCACCTGCTGGGGGTCCTGGCTCCCCAGGCCAGCAGCCCCCGCCCACAGGCGCCTCCCCTGCAGTGAGCACGTCTACCCGGTGAGCATCAGCAGGAGAATGGGCCCGGAGCCACCGTCTCAACTCCCGTCTGTGTCGCCTGCCGGCCCCTGCAGGGTGTCCTCCCTCCAAGGGGTACAGATCAGGAGGCCCAAGAAGAGTCCTTAGTGCCCTGGCCCAGGCTGGCAGCCTGGCGGGACAGCCTGCATTGTCCCGTGGCAGCAGCCTGTCCCACACTGGCCTGAGCTCCACCAAGGGTCGCCCCTTCATCTTCTCCTGGGGGCACTGAGGAACCTGCAGCTGCTCAGGGCAGAGGTCAAGGACTTGGCCAAAGCCAGTCGGCCCCAGAGCCTCACCGGGTGAAGCTGACGGCAGCAGGGGGGCACCAGACTGGCCCCTGGCCCCAGAGGCGGCCCTTTCTGCTGCCCCGACAAGCAGAGCCACGGTGCACTGCTGACAGCGCTGGGCAGCTGCGGGCAGCCCCTGCCGAGAGAGCAGCCCTGGCCAGGACACAGGGGACTTTGGCGAAGGAAGTCCAGCCCACTGGCAGCCACTCAGCCCTCGGCACCGGCACCCAAGCCCAGGGGCCAGGCCCCCTCAAGGGTCCAGGGCTCTGTGCTCAGGTTGCATCCCGGGCAGTCAGGGCAGAGGGAGCCCACGGAACACGGCCCACACGTGCCCTTGGTTAGTGCACAGCCATCCCAGGGGGCTTCACCGTGCTTCCTCCCACAGGGAGGTGCTGAGGTCTGAGAGCCAAGCCAAGGCTGCAGGAGCTCCGCCTTCTGGTGCCCAGCACAGCCCTGGGGGCTGCACGGAGCTAGGGCATCCAGACAGCAAGGCAGCAGAGGAGGGAGCGTGGGGGGAGCAGTGGCTATGCCCAGCTGGCAGCTGGGCCTCCCCTGTGGCTGACCCCATCCACCTGACCCAACGTGAACCCTACACACCTGCCTGCACGGCACATGGCCACTCTCTCAGCCCCACCTGCTCTTCGTGGCCAGGCGGCTCTCTGCCCAACAGCCTGGTGCTCTGCTGAAGGCAGGCTGCCTCGGGGGCGCACATGGGTGCCGCCTGCGCCAGGAGCCCTCGCCCCACTGGGCCTGCAACCAGTCCCCAGAGCCCCCGGCAGGCCCCAGCTGCGCCCAGACCCTGACCCTTCCTGTGCTCAGAGGCTGGGAGGAGGCGCCGGATGGTGCCACTCCGACAAGTCGCCCCAGTCCTGGCTGCCCCTCGGGAGGGCAGGCCTGGCCAGCAGGTGGGGTGGGAACACCTACGACAGGAGGGGCGCAGGAGCAAGAACCAGTAAATCTGAAGCTCATTCACGGTGATCTGGGGCTCTTATTAAGTAAATTAATTCCAGTTAATTCAGCTCGATCCCGACTCCCGATCGCAGTGATTTAATGAGGGGCTGCCTCAGGAAAGGCCACCCCACCAGACAGAAGAGCGAAGGAAATTAGACCCACTTCTCACGGTGAGTTAGCATGGAAACAGCAGGTGTAAATTTAACCTTATCGAGAGAGTGAAAATTATCTTCATAAATCTGTAGAAATAGCCCCCAAGGTGCTTATAAATCAATTTAAAACAAAAATATTACAAAAAGTGCAGTAAAATTAGTTTAAAATACACTTCCAGCTATTGTCTCCAGAGAAGCAGGTGGCAAGGCCAAGTTCCCTGTGGCCTAACAGTGAGGGAGGAGGGCAGTGGGCACACGGACTGCGGGGCAGGCTGAGCGCCCACACATCTGCAGAGGCCAGCAGGCCGCCCTCCTCTGCCCACAGCCCAGAGCCAGGCAGCCTGGCGCGAGGCTGGAGGGCTGCTGCCTCCCCTCCCGCCCTTGGCAGTCAACACACTACCAGCAAGCCGGGCCCGCAGGTTCCAAGGGGCTGCTCAGGGCCCAGCCTCTCACCACAACTTGCTCCCCGAGAGACACCTCAGCCCTCCCACGCCAGCTGACAGCGTGCTAATAACAGGAGCGGGCGCGAGTGTGTCCGCGGGCACGTGGCACACAGGCTGGCCATGTGTCTGGGGCAGAAACTGCTGAACAGAAAGACCACCCGCTCCCCAGCCAGCAAACTGGAGACTGAGCACTTCCCAATGCAAGCGCAGTCCCCTTGGCCTCAGCCCGGCTCCGTGGCCTTGGAGCCCACCAGCCCGCCCCGCCCACGGGAGCCCGGACAAGGGCCTCGTACCTGGACAGAGAGCGCCGACGAGTCCGCCAGGAAGACTGGGGCAGGGGACAGGGAGCTGCGTTGAAAGGTGAGGCCTGGGTCTTCTTGACAATGCGGTATCGGGTCTTGATCACTTTGCTGGTGGGAGGGGACCGCAGGGTGTTCAGGTTGGATGCTGCAAAGAAACCCAGACAGTGGGTCAGTGGGTTGGCAGGGATGCCCTCACGCTCCATTCCAGCTCCACCCCATGTGGCACGCCCATGTCTCCAGAAAGCCCAGCACAGGGGCTCCAGGAGAGCTGGACACAGGTCACCAGGACATGAGTGACGTGGGTGGGAAAGCAGCTCGTACCCTCAGCAACATGGCTGAAACCCGGAACTCGGCGCTGGCCCCGACCCCGAGCTACATGGGCAGCAAGGAGGTCCCTCGGGCGGTCCAGGGGGCTGGGGGTGCAAGCGGGTGCCTCCACCACGTGCAGACGCAGACTCCTGTGCTCAGTCACCTGTTCCCCTAACATCTCGCAGGCCGATCCACACGCTTTCCTTCCCGCTTCGTGTTCCACGCAGTTAACGGGGATGTTTTGCCCGAGTCCCTTCCACTTGATAGCTGGCAATTTCTCCACAGCTTCGAGGAACATGTCTAATTGCCGACTTTCATAATATCCGGCTCTAACCGCCCAGAGAGTTAAAGCTGACAGCACAGGACACAGCACCCCGACGCCCTAAGGACGGCGAGGCTGCCTCGGGCTCTTCCTTGTGACCCCAACCTGCCTGCGCGGCGCCTAGGGCTTTGCTCCGAAAGGGGTTCCGGGCAGGACCCTGCACCAGGGGCTCCTCAGGGTCTCTGCCCACAGAGGCGCCCACAGCTAGGCAGCTGCCCAGACAGCCAGCTGTGGGGGGGCATCGGCAGAGACCAGGGCGCGTGCACCAGGCGAGGCCTCCAGGACAGCACGCTCCCAGCCTCACTGCCGGGGCGGCAGCACCAGGGCGAGCCTGTGACCAGTGGGTAGGGACTAGCTGACCCGCAGCTGAAGGCCACCTGATGTCCGGGATGGCCTCAGAGAGGAAGCAGGACAGGCACACAGTGGCGCCAGACCCACAGGTCACTTTGGTTCAGTGCCGCCCTGGCTGTGGTCAGCTACCCTACTCCCCTGAAGGCACAGTCCAACGCTCCATGACCCACACCTGCTCCCCTGGGCACCAAGGAGACAGCCTCCCAGCACCCATGAACCCCTGACGCAGACCCAGAGCCTCTCCATTACCAGCCCACAGGAGCTGGTACTGATCCATGGACAGTGACAGGAACTGTTACTAAACATCATCTCTCAGAGCCTGAGACCAAACAGGCCTCCAGCCCACCGTGGGGCCTCCGCAAGTCAGCACCTGGCCCACCCAGGCCGCGGGGCGCAGGGCGTGCTGAGATCAGAAGGCAGACACCCGCTCCCTCCCTCCGAGGACAGCAGTCAGGGAAGTCGGGGAGGAGAGGGAAGTTCAGCAAAGCCAGTCACTGTGGCATCACCTGGGGTACCTGCTCTTGCTGAGTGAGCGACCAAAGTGAGTCGCTAGCTCTGGGCACCCTGCACACACCGGGGATGTAGGGGACAGCCTGCACACACAGTGGACGTTAATAAAAAATGTCGAACTGGATTTTCAAGGACTTACAAGCAAGAAGATACCAATGAGAACAAGTGACAGCTTGTTCCAGCCGAGCGCTCGCGAGCACAGGAGCTCCTGTGAGCCACGAGCCAGCAGAGCTCGTGACCCCAGCCCTGCTCCCTTGGCCCTCACGGCCTGCCTGCCCACAGGCCTGCCCACAGGCCTGCCCTCGCCGCACACCCGAGGGCCACACCGTCCTGGTTCTACAGCCTGGGCCCCTGGAGGGACACCTCTGCACAGGGTGGGAAGGAGGGCTGGTCCTTGCTGGGGCCAAGTCCCCTCCTCAGCAACCTCATCACCTTCATCCTGAGCACAGGGAGCCCCTGACCGGGCTCAGCTCCACTGCACAACACTGCCTTTCCCTGCCCTGCAACGTGGTCAGGCAGATGCCACCTCCTCCAGGAGGCCCCAGTGCCAACACCCACAGGGCTGGACTTTGCAGCCCGAGAGCTCCTCAGGGCCCAGCTTGCTGCACTCAGGGCCAAGCCGCCGCTTCTCCACCAGCGCACACTGCGGGCCTCCCTCACAGCTTGTCTGTTGTTAGCCCTCGCCCGAGGGTGTTTTCCACTGATTTTCAGAGTGAAAGGCCCTGGCCGGTTCGGCTCAGTGGTTGGAGCGTCGGCCTGTGGTCCAGAGAGACCCGGGTTCGGTTCCCGCTAAGGGCATGTACTTCGGTTGCAGTTTGTCCCCGGCCCTGGTTGGGTTGTGCGGGTGGCAGCCACTCGATGTGTACTTCACGTCGATGTTTCTCTCTCTCTCTCTCTCTGTTTTCCTCTCTCTCCCTCCCACTCTATCTGAACAAAAAATGGAAAAATGTTCTTGGGTGAGGATAAAAAATAAAAATATTCGCGCCCTGGCTGGTTTGGCTCAGCGGTTAGAGCATCAGCCTGCAGATCAGAGTTGAGGGCTCGATCCCCGTCAAGGGCACGTGCCTTGGTGTGGTTCGGTCCCCAGCCGTGGTAGAGGTCCTGCAGGAGGCAGCAGTCGATGTGTCTCTCACATCGATGTCTCTCTCTCCCCCCTCCCATTCTATCTGAAGATAATCGGGAAAGTATCCTCGGATGAGGATTTTTTAAAAAATGTTTGAAAGGCCAGCCTCTTGTCACTTCCCCGCTGTCACCTGTTATCACCCCAGCCCACGCCCCATTCCCACAGGCCACTCGGTCTCTGATGACAGCAGCTCAGCCACGAGTGACGGACGCTCTGTGGCGATGGCCCTGGAGACCCGTGCCAGGGCACAGAGAGCTCGGCAGAGTGGACAGACGGGGGTGGCCCCCTGTCCAGCAGGAGTGAGGGCTCTGAAGACCATGCAGGGACCAGAGCGTCCGGGCCCCGCTCCAGGCCCGCGCAGGAGCCCCCACCCCACCCCACCCCACAGCAGCCCACCAGGCAGTGCTGAGGGTTTGTGTAGATAATCATGTTATTTAGATAGGATGTTGGTTTAATTCCCTTCATTACAGACTCCCAGGGTTGTAATTTTTTTCTCCGCATGATGTATTCCCCGTGGCACATTTCACTCAGATCAAGCCCTTCGCGCCTTTACTGCCGACGAGGCCCGGGCGCCTGTTATCAGGCCCGCACACAGCCCTCCCGCCCCGCCGTGCGGAGGTCAGTTCTAATGACTAATCGATCTCATTAGCTTTCCTAATTAAAAACTTTACTACCGCAGTGGAAGACAAACTACGAAAAACTGCTGGCATCACATCTGAATGGAATATGAGCCCATCCATCAGCAGGGCCCTCGCTCCTGCACACAGCGGCTGCCCAGCCTTTCCTGTTCCCACGCTCCCGGCCTGCGGGCACAGGGGCCTCCTCTGCACCGAGCTCGGGCACAGCTGCTGGGACCAGCAGTCAGGTGGCAGCGCCCAGGCGGTCTGGCTTGGCCCTCAGCATGCACCGCCCTGTGTCCCAGCTGTGGAAGCAGGGAGCTCACCAGGCCCTGAGGTTGGTGCAACACGGGGTGGCAGGGCCCCCCGCACACTGGGAGGATGGCAAAGTCCTGAGCCGTTGGCAGAGGACCAACCCCTCCAATGGTGGGCACACTCTCACTGTTTTACTGTGGAGTGGGAGTCGAGAGGCAGTTCAGATTTTATGGAACTTCGAAGGGAAATAACTAGGATGAAAATGAATTACTAATTTCACAATTCTTTAATGCGTAGTAAGATGAACCCAGAACTGCTAGTCTGTACAAAGAACTGCCTGAGGCCACTGACCAGGAGAGAGTAGGCTGCTCCCCAAACACGCCCCTCGAGCCTGAGGCGGTGGGGAGGGGACAAGTGAGTGTCCCCAGCAGCCATCCACCTGTCTGTCCAGCTCCCCACATGCCGATGGAAACAGGACCACGCAGAGCCTTCCGGACACCCAGAAAGCAAGCCGTGCCCCAGGGGGCACCAGGCCAGTCCCTGAGGGCGAGGGGAGTGGCAGGGCCGGCAGAGGTGCCGGGACCCTCGGGCAGGGCCGTGGCTGGGCTGAGGGCGCAGAGTCAGGGGACGGCCGCAGGGCCGGGGGCTGTCAGCCAGTCCAGCTTTTCCCCTCCGTCCAGTACGATTCAGCTTTCCCCAACCACTGCCCGATCGCTTTCTCTCAACAGCCACCCTGACCCGGTGCATCGCCTCCCCACGGCCCACGCCCTCACCGGCTGCAGACAGCTCTAAGGGCCGCACGAGGCTCAGCCTTTCCGGAAGCCACTTTCATTTCTGGCCATGAACCATCCTCCCTTTCCAGTCACTCGGTCCTGGCTGGCCCATCATCAGCGTCAGTGCCCCAAGCACACAGGATGGGCCCAGGACCTGAGGTCAGGCAGCCTCTCCCGATGACTGAGCTGCACTCCTGGGAAGAGGCCACAGAACTGCAGGCATGGCTCGCGGGAGGCCTTTGGCAGCTGGCACAGCCCCTGCACCCGAAACCCTGAAGCACATCTGAGCCGTGCACAGAGCCCAGGCCTGGCAGGGCTGCAGTGCCGACTGCTGGAGCTGAACTCGTCAGCAGGGCGCTGCTCCCAAGGGCCATGCAGGCACGTGCTGCTCCCGGGCCCGAGGCTCTGCCAGGGGCCCAGCCCCTCCTGGAAGACCCAGCGCACGTGTAGGGCGAGGGCTTGGCCTTCGAACCCTGCTTGGCTCCAGCCTGCCCTCTCTGGACACTGCACGTCCATCAGGGCATTTCTGAACACTGGCCCCATCTGAGATGTCCCCTCGGTGACTACTATGGTCCTAGAGACCGTGAAGCTGGGGGCTGCATTTGGGGGTAAAAAGGGCCCTGGGCTTCAAGGTGAAGGGTGACAGGCCCCAGGAGCCTCCAGGAAGGCGGCGTGGATGCCATTTGCAGGAAGCAGCCGAGAGGCAGGCAGAGTGGGGCGTGGGCTCTGGTGCTCAGTGCAGCAAACGGGGTCCCCAGGAGCGCTCTCCGTGTCCGCGCCCCTCTCCCACCCAGGCTCAGGCCTGCTCCTCCTCGGTCTCCGCGGCAGCCACCACCACCCTAGTGTCCTCACTGCTGACCCTGGGCTGCCCCATCGACCCTGCAC